GATTCTCTCCTTCACTTTAATCTTGACTAATGTAATTATGATGTGCCTTGGTGTGTTCCTTCTTGGGTCCAACTTCTTTGGGACTCTCTGAGCTTCCTGGATTTCCTGGAAGTCTATTTCCTTTGCCAGATTGGGGAAATTCTCCTTTATTATTTGTTCAAATAAGTTTTCCACTGGTGGCTGTGCCTTTCCCCTTCTGGTACCCCTATAATTCGGATGTTGGAGCGTTTCAAGATGTCCTGGAGGTTCCTAAGACTCTCCTCATTTCTTTGAATTCTTGCTCCTTGACTCTTTTCTGTTTGGCCATTATTTGCTTTCTTCTGGTCCACTCCATTGATTTGAGTCCCAGTTTCCTTTTCATTGCTATTGGTGTCCTGTGCAATTCCATTCATTTCAATTAGTTTTGCCTTCATATATTTGTCTAATTTGTCGGTATAATCAACCAGTTCTGTGAGGATCCTGATCACCAATGTTTTAAACTGTGCGTCTGTGAGTTTTGCTATTTCTTCATCGCTTAGATCTATTGGCTCTGGGGCTCTGAGATCCTCCTGCGCCATTCCTGGTCTGTTCGGGCCCTTTAAATGTGAGAAGCAGCGCCTTGGATTCCCAGGTCGCTGGGTTGTGACGCTGTATGTGGGGGCGTGGCCAGAGTGGGGAAATGGCGACCCCCTCTGCCGCTTCTCACAGCTGGGTGCGGAGGAGCAGTGCCTTAGGTGGTTCACCTGGGCCGGGCCACTCAGAGTAGCTGGGTTATGACGCTGTATGTGGCGGTGGGGTCAGAGCAGGGAAATGGCGGCGCCCTCCACTGCCGCTTGCCGTGGGGACCTGCCGGCCCGGTCCAACCACCCACTCCCTCGCCTGTCCACCCGTGCACAAATGTGCGACCTCAGTCAACACGCAGCCCCGGGCCCGGCTGTCTCCCCCGAGGTCGCTCGCCTGGTTGCTCGCTGGGTCGCTCACTAGGTCTGACCCTGCGCCTGGATTCCGCGGGCCTGAGTGTGTCTGGCCCAGTCCTCCTGTGCAACCCTGCTCCACCAGCCGCTGGTTTCGCCCCTTACCAGTCAGGCTGAAGAATTTGTTGTTAACGGACTTCCGAAAAGTTCAATTTTCCGTGTTCTGGCTATGTTTTCTGTTGCTACTATTTAGTTTTCTCTAATCTTGGTTGTGTGAGAAGGCACGGCACATCCACCTATGCCTCCATCTTGGCGGAAGTAGCGCTAGTCCTTCTTGAGATCCACACCACAGCAATTCATTAATTTACTAAGAATTCCTGCAACAAGAAGGGACGAAAGTAAAAATCAATTTCTGCAATAGCCATTATTAAAATATTATAGTTTCCATATAACTGAAGAATGGGGCAAAGAATATCCTTCAAAGATGATTAATTAGCAAGATGATTTAAACATACACTATCTTCTTAATTTTCTAGAAAGCCCACCTCTTGGTCAATTTTAAAATGGTAAGAAACAATTTCTGCTTCTATCTCTTCCTTACAGGTTGCCAAATGTACCATTTCCCCCCCCCCCCTAACTTCCATTCTGTCCCTTTCTCAAGAAGTACAGCTTCAGGCCTGGACAGGTAGCTCAGCTGGTTGTAGTACTGTGATATGCCAAGGTTGCGGGTTCCATCGCTGGTCAGGGCACATACAGGAATCAACCAATGAATGAAGTGAATGAATGCATAAGAAAGTGGGATAAATCTCTCTCTCTCTTTGTCTCAATTCAATAAATTAAAAAATTAAATTAAATTTCTTTTAGCTTCAGACTGAATCTTTGAAGACTTTCATTCTTCATGAAAATAAATTTACCAAAATGTTCAGAAAAGTTATGATAAGCAATATGTTATGTCAGATCACAGTTACAGCACTTTGACCTGCCATTGAGAATTTGTCAAAGGAGCATTAACACAACATATTTCCACTATATAGCTCTTTCTTTTTATTGTATGTAATACCTTGTATCACACAATGTTTCTAACCCAATTTTTTGCTGAGGTAAATAAACGAAAATGAACTAGAGTGATCACCTCTCTAAATCAATTGCAGTGTGTGCATCATGCCACTCACCCTTTCAGGAATGCCTGCACTTACCCAGGAGAGAAGGACAACAGTGACAGGCCAACCCTCTCGTCAAAGAGCTGCCAGACTGGCCAATGAACACGTGTACAGGCAAAGCCAACAGAGTATATAATACATACTATATTGTAGGCACACAAATAATCATGCGAAGCAAAATAGAATTAAGTGGAGTTTTCCCTGCGGACTGCTGAATTGGACAGCCCTGAACTTTGGAATTCACTCTGCAGGTGGAGAGGCTGTGAAAACTACGATAGGGACTGATTTGTGCTTTAGCGAGATCATTCTACATGGCCTTGCTGAAGATAGATTTGAGGGGTAACATGAGCAGCACACACACTCATTGAAGTCTATTTTCATAGTCTTGTGACAAACGATTCTTCCTGAATTTGAGCCGCTGAACCGGGGATGGAGAGCAAATGTGGGAAGTATTTTCCATGGGCTCTGATCTCAGAAAGGGTAGGGGGGTTACTGCCACCCTTTTCTCCCAAAGAGAATGGACACAAGATGACATGTCCTGACACCCAACCCAATCCAAAAGGTTGGTCTGTGTTCATGGCCTCACAAAATAAGTTTCAGTTCTCATCCCTGTGAAAAAAGAGAATTTCAGAAGCTTTCTTCAACATTGTGCCATGTTGTCTATGCTTGCTATGGAAAGAACTGGCCCTGGTTTTCTTTCCCAATTTTCTTACAAATTTTCTGTTATTCTAGACAAAGAATTTAAAATTTGGTATCACAATAACAAGGGTAGTTTCACTGTTCCCAAGCCTACACATCAGTCCTTGTTTGCTACTGTATAACACAAGAGATGTGGGCACGTTTCTTTCCATGAATTAACATTTTATGATACGCTACTGCAAGACCCATTCAGCCATCTACATTGTCCCTTTTAAAGTCCTGGCAGACAGGGACCTGGCCTTCCCACATGAGCTGACAGAGGTGTTAGATAACTAGCTTGATAGCAAGGAATTTCCATCCTTGAAGAATGTCCGGTATATCATAAATGAAACTGTGGCCTGCTTCCTCTAATGTGATTTCTTGCCAGAATTTAAGAAAGCCTTATTAAATTATTGCTTATTTCCTGCAAAAGAATTGGTATGGGTTACAGCTCAAGCTGTGTCGATGGTGCTTGTTTGGCTGTCCATTGCCACGCATACAAGCCAGCAAAGAGGGCTGCATGTGAATGAACACCTTTATTAGACGTCCTCGTGAGTGAAAGACATGGTTCTGCAGTTGCACTTGTTACAGGGACCACTACTTGCCCAAATGATTGTGGTTACAAAGAAACATGCACACAGTGCCCAGATATCCTCGGGGGTGACTGGTTTTCTTCCTCCCTTCCTCCTGCTTTCCCTGTCAGTTTCTGAAAAATGAAATTGGTTCTGGCTGCAGACTGGCTCTTTGAAGGCTTTAATTCTTCATAAAAAGTAAACTTACCAAAATGTTATGAAAAGTTATGTTAGAAGGTGGGAAAGTATGGTATTGCTGTTACATGGACTGAAGTTGAATATGTAGGAGATTGTCTCTCCCAGGAAGCACACAGGCCGCATCTGGGAGTAAAGGGTGGGGACGTGTGAAGCTCACTCTCCAGGGCATCTGTGTCCATAGAAAGAGAGGGAGAGTGAGCTCAGGAGCAAGAATGGCCGGGAGAGAGATTAGCACAAAGCCAGGGGGGGAAGCGTTCACGGAGGTGAGTCTGGGTGAGTGAGGGATGCGGGAATTCATGGAACCAATGGCTTCTCTGCATTTGGGTGACTCTCAGTGGGGGAGTGCCTGAGACCCAACTACCCAGGACAGGGTGCCCATGGTGGTCCAGCCAGGGAATCTGGGCTCCTTCCCCCCCTGCCCCCTTCACCTTCCCCTGGCCTCTTGCCCTGTCTCCCCATCATTCCCCTCCTTGGTCCCACCCCCCATTCCCCTCAGTGGTCCCTCCTGCCCTCCACTGTCTCCATTTCCCTGCATTCCCCTCCATGGACCCTCCCACCCTCCACCCCCCATTCCTCTCCATGGACTCTTCTACCCTCCACACCCCCATTCCCCTCCATGGTCCTTCCCATCCTTCCCCTCCTGCCCTCCAACCCCCCCATTCCCCTCCATGGTCTCTACTATTCTCCTCACCTCCCCCATTCACCTCCATGGACCCTCCTGCTTTTCCAGAGCTCGGCATTCCCCTCCATGGCCCCTACTACCCTCCATCCTTCTGTCCTCCTCCCCCCATTCACCTTCATGAACCCTCACCCCCCCATTCCCCTCCATGGTCTCTCCCTCCATCCACCCCCTTTCATTTAGACCCCCTAGCTCCCCTGGCCCCGCCCCCCACTGATTTCCTGGCTTCACGAGCAGGCCCTATTGACGTCACAGAGCATATTCCCTCCTGTTTCCAGGCACCCAGTGTGCACGGGGACAGTCAACGGCAGAGGCAGGTGGCCCGGCAATAGCGGTTGGTCCTGTTGCGAGGTGGCGGTGTGTCCCGGCAGCAGAGCCTCTGGACTCAGGGTCTGAGAAGCAGAACCAGCGATGGAGGATGCAGAGATGGAGGAGCCAGGGATGGAGGAGGCAGAAATGGAAGAGGAAGAGGTAGAGGAGGCAAAGATGGAGGAGGCGGACATGGAGGAGGCGGACATGGAGGAGGCAGACATGGAAGTGCCAGGGTCCAGCGGGACACAGGTGAGCAGTAGCCCCTCAGGTCCAGCCAAGTCCCCAACTCTCCCTTCCTCCCCCCTCCCCCCACCATCCCTGTCCCCTGACACCCCTCACACCCCACAGCCCGGCTCCAGCCTTCTTACCCACGGACTTGGGGGTGGCTGCCCCTCTAACCTTGGCCCCCTTAAGCTACACCCACCCTAACCCATGGTACCCCCCCTAACCCGTGGTCCCCCCTTGTCTCTACCAGAATGCAGAGACATGGCCAGTTCCCGGGGATTCATCCACAGCTCTAAAGCGCCTGGAGAAGGAACTGATGGACATCACTAAGGACCCCCCTCTCCTGTGCTCCGCGGGGCCGGTGGGGAATGACATGTTCACATGGAGGGGGGTCATCATGGGTCCCCCTAACACCCCCTATGAGGGAGGAATCTTTTCACTCAACATACACTTTCCATGCGAGTACCCCTTTCACCCTCCATGGGTTTACTTCACTACTCGGATATACCATCCCAATATCGACAGAAGAGGGAATATCCATATAGATATTCTCAAGTCCCAGTGGTCTCCCACACTGACCACATCCAAAGTATTGTTATCCATTAGCTCCATGCTATGTGACCCGAAACTTGATGATGCCTTAATCCCATCCATTGCGAGAATGTACTTAAAGGATAGGGACAAGTATAATACTATGGTGCAAGCTTGGACGAGAAAATATGCCATGTGAGTGAGGCATAAATGATAACCCACCACCTCAATAAAACACCGGGCTATGGAATAGGCTGACTTTTGAGTGCTTTCTGGGAGGCGTGGTTTCCCCATGTGGGTGGGAACGCAGTGAATACCTGCGACATCTGGGAGTGTGGAGGGGGTGGGGAGGCAGGGGGTGGGGCAATGTGGGGGGATGGGGAGGCATGGGGGTCGGACACCTGCCACATCAGTGTGTGTGGTGTATGGGCAGACATGGGGGTTGGACACCTGTGACATCAGGGGATGGGGGAGGTGTGAGATCTGCACACCTGCCACATGAGGGTGTGTGGAGGGAGGCACAGTGTTGGGGCAAGTTCAGCAGATGGGGGAGTGGTAGAGAGGCCATTTTCATGAGCATTTTATTAAAAGCCTTCTTTCCTGCTTCAGGATGGGAAAGCAAGAACAAGGGGGTGGTGGGCTTAGGGTGAGGCCTTTAGAACTGACAATGGGGAGGAAAAAGTGGATGAAGATTAGAAAGCTCATTGGGTACCTATTTTATTCTGAGGAACCTGTGTCTTCAGGTGTGTTGCTTTGGCCAGGATGACTAGTAACCCATATTCTCTACTTTGAGGCCTACATTGAACTGGACAAACATCAAGTGGATGAGGAGTAACACAAAATGATGTGTTTTGTTCCCAGAATTCTCCACCCCAACCCTTAAATGCCCACCTTTTGGACCATTCTGCCTCCCTCCACACTCTGGGTTTCACCCCACTTCTCAGGACATGAGTCTTTACAATAGCTAATATGTACAAGCCCCCCAGGTGCCCATCAGTAGATGAGTGGATAAAACAACTTAGTACATGTACACATGGAATAGTATGCACCTGTAAAAGAAGGAAATCTTACCTTTGGGGACAGTGTGGATGGACCTGGAGAACATTATGCTCAGTGAAATGAGCCAGTGAGTGAAAGACAAGTAGCATCTAATTTCACTCCTATGTGGAATAAAATGAACCAAGTGAGCTAACAAATTAGAAACAGACTGGTACTAAAGAGGCTGACAGCTGTCAGAGGGGAGGAGGTTTGGGAGGTAGAAGAGGGTAAAGGGGGGATAAATAGAGATGGAAGGAGACCTGACTTGGGGTGGTGAACACACAATATGCAGATGATATATTTTAGAACCGTACACTTGACACCTGTATACATGTTTTAACCAGTGTGACTCCAAAACATTCAAGCTTCTGTTAATGTATTCCTTACCCCTTCCAATCTGGTGCTGCCTAATTCAAATCCAGTTTTGCTCAAATAAACTCTTAAAATTAAAAAAAATAATATGTAAAATATTTTAAAAAAATAAAGGAAAGCTTTCAGATGAAAAAATACTGCATCAAGACAACATATATAAATAGTATATTACATGAACCTTTCCCCTCTGCTCCCAAAGTCTGCCTAGCTTAAAATCCCCTTCACTATAGCAAAGGAAAAATATTCTTACTCTAGTGTGGAAATCCCTGCTTTGTTTGGACGCTTACTATAAGCATTAAATGTTTGTGAAGCTTCATTCACACAGTTAATGCATAATAAATGTCTACACAGCCTCAGTTGCCTGAGACAATAAACATTTATGAACCTTAGGAATGTGTGGGGTTTGGCTGAATTAGGCTGAGCATGGCATTTATTGGCAGTGCTTTCTTATAGGCCAGCAGTCAGCAGTTGGTCGTGTCTGCAACTGTGCTGATTTGGGCTGAGCTTGCTCACATGTCTGGGAATCAGGTGGTTGTTGGTCAACTAAGCATGGCCTTGGGTAAACTAAGTGTGATGACCAGCAATTGTGCCCTTTGGCTCCAATCCTCCATCAGTTTAGACCAGGCAAGTTCTCATGGCAATCGTGGAAGAGGAAAAGGGAGCAAGATAAATTTTGCAAATGTTTTTTAAATCTGGGGTTACATCCAATAAGCCAGCATTCTACTGGCATGTCCTGTGGTAATGCCCAGAGTCAGACTGAAAGGACACTACAATGTTACTTGGCAAAGGACATGGATATAATGCAAGGAAAACTGGAACTAATATTTCAATAAATCTGCCAGAGAGTTCATTGTCCTCAGTAAAACAGGAAAAAGAAAAAGTACAATTCAGCATGTTCTATGACTTGCATGAAATAATGTGATATAAACACACTACTAATTATTTATCTTGTAACAGTAATGAAACCATATCATGTGCACACACACACAAAAACAGACATACTTGACCAGGCTTCCAGCCAAGATGGAGGCTTAAGTAGATATGCTTCACCTCTTTGCCCAACCAAAAGAAGGATAACAACCAACCTAAAAACAAAAAAACCTCAGAACTGCCAGAAAATCAAATTGTATGGAAGTCCGACAACCAATGAGTTAAAGAAGAAATATTCATCCAGACTGGTAGGAGGGGCAGACATGGGAATCAGAGATGGAAAGCACATGTGGCAATGCGACAGCTGGTGGACCAAGTGGTCCCACATTCACATGCAGATAAAAACCATGAGGACTAAGTGAGGAGTGACTAATCCCAGCCCAAGACAGACTGCTCAACCCAGGGCTCCAGCACCAGGTAAATAAAGTCTCAGAACCCATGGCTGTAAAAATCTGTGGGGGATGCAGCAGCAGAGGAAACTGCTGTTCTCTCAAGTGTGTCTGTTGGAGGGGCCCACAGGGTTCTAGAATGTACACAAGCTCAACCACCAAAGAATCAGTGCCAGGGCAGCACCTGGGAGGGCACCATTCACTTGTGGGAAGAGAGGGAAGTGACTGAAAGCAGGGTGAGAGCTGAGCAAGCACCATTGCTCCTTCTCTGACCCCTCCCCAACATATAGTGCCACAAGTGTCTACGCAGGTTGCACCAGCCTGGTGAACCCTTAAAGCTCTGCCCTTACAACATAACAGGTGTACTGAAAAATTGAGGAGATGGAGAAATATGACCCAAATGAAAGAACAGATCAAAACTCCACAAAAAGAACTAAGTAACAGGGAGAGAGCAAACTTATCAGGTGCAGAGTTCAAAGCAGGATGTAATCAGGATGCTTAGAGAAATGGTTGAGTACAGGCAAAATAAAGGAAGAAGTGAAGGCTACACAAAGAGAAATAAAGCAAAATATACAGAGAACCAACTGTGAATGGAAGGAAGCCAGGACTCAAGTCAACAATTTGGAACAAAAGAAAAAAATTAACATTCAACTGGAACAGAAAGAAGAAACAAGAATTCAAAAAAAAAAAAGAAAGAAAGAAGGGGAGGCTTAGGAACCTCTGGGATAATTTTAAATGTTCCAAAATCCAAGTCACAGGGATGCCAGAAAGAGAAGAAGAAGAACAAGAAACAAAAATTTATTTTAAAAAATAATGAAAGAAAACTCCCCCAATTTGGCAAAAGAAATAGACATACAGACCTAGGAAGCTCAGATGATTCCAGACAAGTTGGACTCAAAGAGAGCCACATTAAGACACATCATAGTTAAAATGCCAAAAGTTAAAGAGAGAATCTTAAAAGCAGCAAGAAAAAAGAAGAGTGACCTACAAAGGAGTTCATTTAAGACTAGTAGCTGATTTCTCAAAAGAAACCTTTAAGGCAAGAAGGGACTGGAAAGAGGTATTCCAAATCATGGAAGGCAAGGACCTTAATCCAAGATGACTCTATCCAGCAAAACTTTCATTTATAATGGAAGGACAGATAAAGTACTTCCCAGATAAGGTCAAATTAAAGGAGTTTATCATCACCAAGCCCTTATTATATGAAATGTTAAAGGGACTTATCTAAGAAAATAAAGATCATAACTATGAACAGTAAAATGACAACAAACTCACAACTATTAACAACTGACCCTAAGAAAATAAAAATAAAACCAACTAAGCAAACATCTAGAACAGGAACAGAATCACAAAAATGGAGATCATATGGAGAGTTATCAGCAGTGAGGGGGAGGAGGAAGAATGGAGAGAAAGGTACAGGGACTTAAGAAACATAATTGATAGGTACAAAATGGACAGGGGGAGGTTAAGAACAGTGTAGGAAATGGAGAAGCCAAAGAATTTATATGCATGACCCATGGACATGAACTAAGGGGGGTAATGGGGGTACTGGATGGAGGGGGTAGAGGGTGAAAAATGGGAAAACTGTAATAGCATAATCAATCAAACATACTTGAAAAGAAGGAAAGGTTAGCCTTAGCTGCCATGAAGAATTCTGACATTATTTTGGATTAGTAAGAATCACTCCTATCAGAGGGGGAAAAGGACTGATTTTGCTAAAGCAACTAGCCTTTTTGCATACCTTAGCTCACTTGAAATTCAGATAAAAACCAGTCAGGTATCATTGCTTAAGATCACAGAACAATAAGTAAAGGGTGGGAATAGTATTCTGATTCCAGAATTCATGCATTTTCTAACACATAAAAATGCCTACAATGAAGAAATATAAGGAGAAGATAAATTCTTTTAGAGTAATACAACTGGGGTTGTGCCCATCAGGTATATAGTACCTGCCATAGAAGCATTGTAGACATCTAAGAAAAAGAATATGCTTTTCCTATTCCTTATTAGCCCATATATTTTTGTACATGTCATGTACTAATAAATATCAAACATTTATCCATTACATTGGGCATTATTTCGAGTGCAATGCATGGATTCATTTATTGAAATCCTCACAACCTCATTTTGAGATATATGCTATTATTATTGCCCCCTTCTTATAGGTAATGCAACTAAAACACATCTCATAGGTACAGTATCAGGTTCAAAGCCATCCATCCTGGCTCCATCCCTGATACATGACACTGCCTGATGAAAGGTACATGTCTCTATTGCTCTGGAACTACCTATCTACATTCTCTCCTGCCTCGAGTTCCAGTCTATGAAAGAGTCATGCTTCTCTGAGGGATATAACTGCAGTGATGCTTTTATATTGTTGCTTTGCTAACTTTCTTGAAATAACAAACCAAAAAAATTCATGTAACATGTGGACATTTTACATTTGAGCATCTTTATAGTGCATATTAAG